TATAAATTGAACTAAATCCACCTTCTGTCAGCTTTGTTACTTTTTCAAATTGCTCAAAAGGTATCCATTCTAAAATATAGCCTGGCAGAGATGAGAGAATTTGACATTGTTGAATAAAATTATCAATTATGTTATTTCCAGATGTCCAAGTAGTGAAAAGGCTCTGTAATTGTAAACTAATGCAACCTTCACAGAATCTATCAGAATAACTTGTCAATTTACACTTGTTACATTTTTTTGGTTTTCCACTTTTATCTCTTGCACTATTTAATTCAAAATCATAAATAAACCTTTCCTTAGAATATTTTTTTTCATTTTTAGAAAGCTCCTTGTTTTTTTTGACTAATGAAAAAAAATAATCTTTTCTACTTTCTTTATCAGAATTAACCAAAGAATTATTATGCATTTCATTATAAATTTTATGTACAAATCCCCTTCTTTCTGATGATAATAATTTATTATATGGCATTATATAAAAATAAATGTATTTATAAAATTTAAAATTTGACTTTATTGATTTATTGTGTTTAATTGAATAGAGTGGAGAAAATGATTTTATTTTTTTTTGTTTTGAGAATACTATATAGTCCGTTTTATTTATTTATTATTCATAAATTCCTTTTGCAGAGAATTGATTATTATAATATTAAATGGTGTGTAACCCACGTACTCTTTTTGGATTCAAATTTTTCTCTGTTTAGGATTAATCAACGAAGAATTTAATACGTATAAATCTTGAAAATTTTAAAAAAAAAATTACATTATTTAAAGAACAATTCTAACATCAAAAAAAAAAAACTCTAGTGATTGACTCATCGTGATGCTAATAATTCGACAATAAAAGGATTTAGCATTGTTTTTTTCTCCGTTTTCTATTTTCATCACCTTTAAACCTGTACTAGACCTGTCTTATGTACTATGTAAAAGTCATTCTACGTACCAAACTCAGACTCTAAGCATTTTTTATTTTATTAATTACTATTACGCGCAATTAACAAAAAATATCAATACGCACTCCCTGTAGATGTGCCATTCACAGTAACCCTGATTTTTGTTCGCGCATCGTGTGCATAATGTATATACTGTATATCATAGGGAGGGAATATAAGAAAGCAAATAGCGCATAATTATTTTTAAAATGTCTGTTATGCATAACACACTATGCACAGCACATCACTAACTCTCTATACCAATACTGAACCGTCTATGCGTGTTTCAAACTCGAGCACTAAAGACAATTTGAGCGCGTTTGGATTTTTCTTTTTATGAAATGTATAATAAAAGGAGAAATAATAAAAAAGATAATGGTTTTAATTTGTAGAAAGTATATACAAATTAATTATTGAAATTTTTCTCCAATAAAAAATTGTACATTTTTTCGACGGCATAAAAAATTTTTTTATTCCTTCACGGCTAAAATATCAGGAGAAAGATTAATCTTCAGACTATTTCTGGCCATCATCATATTCATTGAATTTTCTTCAGAATATTAAACGAATATACATTAATATATAAAAAATTAATATTAAAGGAATAATCAACAGTATATACATGTCTTGTTCATACCCTGATGAAAAGAGCTTCATAATTTAACACCTGTATTTTACAAGAAGTTAAAATCGCAATGTTGGGGGATTTCAATTTTATATTTTTTTATAAAATAAAAAAAGGAAAACGTGTTAAAAAAAAATGGTTGCTTATTACCGGTAACAGTTTAGTATGGTGGTGTTGATGGCACAAAGCCCAATTGTTAAAGCTTATTGCTAATTAATTACTCAAAATTTTAGTAAGACTTTCTGAAAAATGTAGGTCCTTCCCTGTAACGATAAGCTACGAATATTAATATTTGAGATATTGGCATCTGAACTAAGGAACTAAGAAACTCACCAATGGTAAAGTAAATCATAAAAGAAGCTGCAGCAAGTTATGAGCTAAAAATTTTTGGTTTGTTTTTCAAATCTTTTATATTTCATCTAAATAAAATGTTCTCATTTTTCTTAATAATTAGTTCAAGGATAAATGCTGGATAAATTGCTTTATAAAAATATATTATATTAAAACTATATACAAGAGTGGATAAATATAAGTATATGCATAACAGAAATATTATATTCATAGAAATCCTCCATTTTTAAAGGAGAGATTTATAATAATAAATTTAAAAACATTTAAACCTTGTGTAAACGTTTGTGACGGTTCAAGGTACTAACGGTAGCAAAAGTTTTAGCACAATCATTACACTCGTTCCTGTTGTTATCACTGTCATTGGTGTTGTCATTGTCCTTGTTTTTATTTTTATTTTTGTTTTTGTTTTTGTTTTTGTTTTTGTTTTTGTTGATTTTATCGTTGTCATTGTTGTTGTCTTTATTCTTGCTATTGTTATTGTTATTTTTATTTTTGCCATCGTTGTCATCATCAACAGTGTCGTTTTCTGGATGCTTTAAACATTGGTGCTTGTTAAGATAGCCTAACGAGTTGAATACCTTTTCACATCTAGGAACTTTACATTTGAAAATAGTTTTACTCTTATCAGGTTGTAATGAGGCAGAAACGGTAGTAATAGCGGTGGTGTTAAGCGTGTCTGGTATGGTGGGAAGAGATGTTGATGTAGTTGTAACAGCAGTAGTAGCAATAATGTCAATGTCATTGATAGTGGTGGAATTAGATTTTTTTTTTATATATTTTCTCTTTTGTTTTTTTATTGATAATGATGGTGCCGGTTCATCAAGTTTGCCTTTCTTATAGGTTTTATAAGTTTGTTCTTTTTGCATTTGATAATCACTATTATCATCACCATCATCTTTAACATCATTAGGATTTGATCTTATTCTTTCTGTTAATTTTTTAGGAGATTCTTCAATATCTGTAAGATCAGATCCATAAAAGATGTCTTCTATCGTGTATTTAATGCCATTATTTGTTTTATTGTTATTGTTATTGTTATTGTTATTGTTATTGTTATTGTTATTATTTTTATTATTTGGTGATGGTGAGGATGGTGTTAATGGATTATTGCTGTTATCAATTCGAATGATTGCAGGTTTATTTCCTGTTTTTTTAAATATAAGATTGAAGGCTGTGTCGAGGAATGGGATTTTTCCATCTTTACGTCTGATTAATGCATCAATCTCCATTAAATATTCTGGATCATCATCTGAAAACACCAATTCATCTACTTCATCATTATTGATTGCCATGTCATTGTTGTAATTATAATCATAATCATCATTATTGTTACTATGTTTATTAATAATACCATTACTATTGAAGTCAATCATATCATTTGAAACATTGATACTGCTAAAACTAATCATGCTACTGTTGCAGATATCATTAATACTGTTGCTACTACTATTTTCACTACTATCAACAATAGCACTACTATAGATCTCGGTATTGCCAAGGTTGCCATTACCGTAACTAAGATTGTCGTTGCTACTAATATTACTAACATTACTTATGTTGGTGTTACTTCCATTGTCATTTCTATCAGATGTAATGTTTAAAATACTAGAAATGCTCATCATTTTGATGATGTTACGGAAAAAAAAAGGATACTTAATAATTTAAAAGTAAAAAAATTGAAAATAAATATTTTTTTTTCAAAACTTTTAACGCGTTAATTAAAGAATAATGACAATATTTATATGTGAGAAAAAGAAATGTGTGTGTGTATGAAATAATTTTGGTGTTATTAAAAAGGTTTGAGATTATTATAATAAAGAAAGTTACACCAAATGTTTAAATTAGTACGACTATGACGCGAAAATTTTATCACCATTATTAAATAAATAAATGATGTATTTGAACGAAAGCATTGAATAATTTAAAGGGATTTACGTAAAGAATATATATGGTTCAAAAAATAATTAAATAGTAAAATTTATCAAAGATATTCTTTCTCTTGCTGCCACTTTATCAATAAATATGCGTCAAAATTCACTATCTATAACGAGCACTAAGTAAAATCAATTTCTCTTTCCATTATTTCATTATTATTAATATATTTCTATAATAAAAATCTCTCTCTATAGTGAACAAAGTCACAAAAAATAGCATAAATCCCAAAAGTTCATTATAGAAAGGGTATTATATACTACATTTCACAAATTCTAATTCTCTAAATAAAATATAAATGACCAAAGATTAAAAGATAAATAATAAAATAAAATAATAATAAATTGTATAATATTCATCAACTGTTTGTTTTGGTCCCTGCACCATTGTTGGTAGGTCATTCGCAGAATTAATTAATTACATGGGCACTTAGCCGGTGGAATGGTACATTTGGTCCGGTTACTTCACACTGTATATCATTGATCTTTAAAAGGCCCATTGCCGAATTTAATTTTCGGGCAATTTTCATTATTTATAATTTTATATTTCAATTAGATGCATAAATAAGAGAAGTTCATCGGTTTTCTCAAGATCTAATAAATAAATAATATCTCTTATGTTTAAAATACAAATATAATAATATTGAAATATTGAAATATTTGAGAACCCTTTAATTAAATACTGTCCTGAATTAATTAATTAAAGATAATAAATAATTTCTTTTGTTAATTTGAAAATATCAAATTAACTGGTGACAACACGTTAAGATCTTTTTATTGTGTAGTTTTTGAAGAGGTTATCAAGCATACTGTAAAAGTATATCAGTGAGGTAACAGTAACATTTAAAAGGTTGCCAATATATTCTGCAAATCAGCAAGTGATGTATATAGAGGCTACCAAGACAATCTTGTTGTAGGCGAGGCAATTTTTATTTTTTAAAGAGGCTGTTAAGGAAATTATTTATACAAGTAGATGTTATAAACGACTAAAAACATTTGAAATTCGGACACGTAAATTATTGTACTCGGACGCACGAATTACTGTTTTTATTATGTGCCTTAATCTCCCTGATAATCGTGTAGTTTTCCGCCAAAATTCATCCGCCAATTTGAATTCCCGTGAGAATATTCGACATCCGCCAAAATTAAAATATCCGAAGTTATTTTCTTAAAAATATTGTAAATTTCGGATATTTTAATTTTGGCGGATGTCGAATATTCTCACGGGAATTCAAATTGGCGGATGAATTTTGGCGGAAAACTACACAATTATACCTCCCTGAATATTTTTGAATGGATAAACATACAATAACTAACATAATAGAGTACGGAAAAGTCAAAACAAAATAAATTGAGTAAACAAACCAATTGGCGGACAAAAATACTTGGAAGAAATTGAAGGAGTATGGAAGGATTATATAAATACTTGGCCCATTCAGTAAAACAGAATTGAAATCTGAAAATTATTTGAGAAAGGAGATTGTTGCAAAAACTTCTATCAGCAATAATAACTCTTAAATAAGAAATGGAGAAGGAGGAGAATGATATAAAAGAAGACACTAATGTTGGTAATATTATAAATAATAATAGTGAATGTATTTACATTAATGTGACCAAAGAATAAGTAATACACATCAATGGCTTTCCATGCAATATATAAATAATTATGTCTTAATGAAATAAATAAACATTACTTACCTTTTTGAGCGTAAATAATATCTTTGTTCCCACTATTTTATTTGTTATGTCTACTGCAATGTTATGATGATCATGCAACTTGGAACTTAAATTAATAAATAAATAAAATTGATAAATTGCATCACCCAAGTATGATGATACTAGGACTATGCAGAAATAAAACTTTTAAGGGGCCAAATTTTGGAAATATCCTTATAAATAGATGCTTTTGCCGTATTATAATCAATGTCCTTTTTCCATGTAGGATAATGGTCCATCACCTTGTCATCCGAATTGTAACAGAAAAACTTTAGTAGTCAAGTCCCCAAAAATTTTTTTTTTTTTTTTGTGTGCATGGGATTGAAATTGTAATGGGAGCCTCCCAATTATAGAGTTCGTCGATGAAAAAAATGAATATGAAATGAATAAATCGACTGATATTGATCACAGGCGTCAGATTTAATAAGTTTCTTCCATCAAACATGTGGTTAGGTGCTCTCACATGTCTTCATCCCCATGGAATTTTTTCTTTTCCACGGGTGAAGGCACCCATAAGTTGGAGGCTTTAGCAATCTCTCCTTTGCAATGATGCAATTTCCATAAACTTCAAAGCCATACACTCCCTGGGAAATTTAATTGCATCATATCTTGGGGTGCGAGGAATAGAGAATAATTGAAATATTTTAAATATTTGAACTTGAAGTAATAACGCTCATTATAATAAATGTCTGAGGACAATAGATTTGTAATACTTGATTATTGGATGGAAACTTGTAGATTAATATTAATAACGACAACGCAAAGCAAGCATACCAATCATTTATCATGATATAAAAGCATATCGTAAGTTTCGTTCCACGTTTATACAAGACTTTAGGCTATTCTATTAAAAAAGGAAATGCATCAACGCAAAAAAAATTAATCTCTGGTTATTAGTAACAATGTGTCTTCTTCTTCAAAACTGTGCTTTTTGTTTATTTATTTTCCGAAATTTTTATATTCGATTATTTATTATTATTATTATTATTATTATTATTATTATTATTATTATTATTTATTCAAATATATTCCGAATAATAATAATAATAATAATAATAATAATAACACTTACGAATACGTTTACTATTAAAAATTATTAGTAATGTTCAACTAACTAATACTAAGGAGTTTAACGGCGGCTTAGTCTGCTAAGCCGATTTGATTGGCTAAGGAATTTATTTTAAACGGCTTAGCCGGTTAATTTTCCCTTTTTTGCAAAAAATTTTTTCTCAGATACCAACCTTATCATTGTTTTTTGACAAATAAGTCTTTTTGATATCAAATAGTTGTGCTACAAACAAAATCAAAATCAGAAATAGATTTTTTTATCTAACATCACAAAAGGTTTTATTGGAAGAAGATCCACTTGTTTGGTGGAATCGAAAAAAGTTGGTTTTGCTGTGCAAGCAAGGATTTACCTAACAATACCGGAAAGCTCAGTACCATCCGAGATATTATTTTTATCAGCTAGAAATGTATTTAGAAAGAAAAGAAATAGGCTTTGTAAAAATAGTATTCATGATATTCTTTTTTAAAAAGAAAAAATTCAGGTATTTTTTGAATGATTCCTATTTAGATTTTTGGTAAAGTTTTATAAACGATAAAAATAATTGATTTTTTTGGTAATTTATTTATACGAGTTTTTATCCGGTTTTAGTTTTTAACGGTTGATATCACCAATTACACTTGTGTTTTCTACTCTATCAGGTTTTAGTTTGTTGTGATATGGTTACTAAATAACGTAGCTTTCTCTAGTTCCGTCAAAGTTTTTTATTTGGCATAATCTATTATTGGCGATAGACTCTGATGATGAAAGATTAGAATATGTTTCTTCTTCACCATTAATTAAAATAATGCCATCATTTACTGAAGACATTTTATTGAAGAAATTTTATCAGTCCAAGTATTACAAATATTTGAAAATATTACGAATATTCAAAAGTATTACTATTACTATTACGGATATCGGAAAATTCGAATATGTAAATTTATTTGACACTAAATTTCGAATATGTTAACATTCGATTATTCGAATATCATAGTACTGATGCAATGAGAAAACTAGGGAACGGGCTTGGTACTCCGAGTTTTATTAAATTGGGATTTTGATTCACGATACGTGAGAAATCTGCAAAAATTTCATGATAGAATTGTAACCTCTCTCTACCTCTAAAGAGGTAACCAACTATTTCAAATTATATTTGTAATATATACACGTTTTGTTTCAAATCACTAATTTATATTTTACTTTAATATGCAGGAATTAATGGGTTCCTGTTCAAAATTACTATATATAGTTTATAATATTTTGACAAAGATGATTACAGAAACAGTTTTATTCAGTTCAGATAAGATTGAAAGGTTAGACGGTGGTGTAATATTGATAGTTGATTGGTTTTAATGATTTTTAATTATTTTTTGCATTAGTAGAGTTGTCAATAAAAACAAAATGATAGTACGGAAGGAATATCTTCTAGTTTTTAACAAGTGATTATGATTACTTGTTGTATTTGGGAAATTTTGATAAGTTTAGCTGTTACACGGTATGACACGTGTTAATTCTACGAATTTTATTTATCAATTCTTGACGTTAACGCGTAATAAGTGAATAAAATTAAAATGGATTAGTAATTTCGATACCGGATAAAGTAAAGTATTACGCCAACTCATTTATCTTTTCATCTCGACGATCGTTTTAATTATTTATATATTAATATATATACTAATTATTTTTATTTTTATTTGTTTATTTACCTAAAAAAATTTTCCTCATAAAAAATTTTTAATTTTAAATTTTTTTTTTTTTGGTAATTTTCCGTTTTAAAACCTTTAACTGATCTTTTTTCAAAATTTATCTAACGCACACTTGTCAATGGCAAAAAATTCCATAAAAATATTTACAGGTAATTCACATATCGAACTTGCACAACTTGTAGCGCGGTAAGAGTATAATTTTTTTTAAGGTGTAAATTTTCTTTTTAAAAAAATCTTTATATAAAAATAAAAAAACAAATTCTTTATGATATAAATAATAATAGTCGAGTAGGTTTGGATCTTTCAAAAGTAATAGTGATAAAATATGCTAATCAAGAAACCTCAGTTGCCATTGGTGAATCAGTTCGCGATGAAGATGTTTTCATTATTCAATCTGGGTGTGGAGAAGTCAACGATAATTTAATGGAACTATTGATTATGATCAATGCATGTAAGACGGCATCTGCAAGAAGAATAACGGCAGTGATTCCTTGTTTTCCTTATGCTAGACAAGACAGAAAAGAAAAATCAAGAGCACCTATTTCTGCAAAATTAGTTGCTAATATGATAACCGTTGCTGGTGCTAATCATGTAATCACAATGGATTTACATGCAAGTCAGATCCAGGGTTTCTTCAATATTCCTGTAGATAATCTACCTTCTGAACCTTCCATGCTTAAATACATCTGTACTAATATTCCTGATTATAAAAATGCTATTATTGTTTCACCTGACGCCGGTGGTGCAAAAAGGTAATATATAATATTTTTAAGTCATTATTATATATATATAATATTTTTAATAAAATATAAAACATTATATATATAATATTTACATTATATTTTTTTTTTCCTTGAAATAGAGCAGCTTCAATTGCAGATTGTTTAAATTTAGATTTTGCTTTAATTCATAAAGAAAGAAAAAAAGCCAACGAAGTTTCAAGAATGATTTTAGTTGGTGATGTCGAAGGTAAAATAGCAATATTAGTTGATGATATGGCTGATACTTGTGGTACTTTAGCCTTAGCTTCTAAAACTTTAAGTGAGAGTGGTGCATTAAAAGTCTATGCAATGACTGCACATGGTATTTTGTCTGGTAAAGCAATTGATACTATCAATGAAAGTTGCTTAGAAAGATTAGTTGTAACGAATACCATACCTCATCATGAAAAGAAAACTGATTGTTCAAAACTTGACACAATCGACATTTCTCCTACCTTATCTGAAGGTGATTTCTTTGATAGAGTTAATTTGATTCATAGTTTAATTGCTGGTTTATTATTTATTAACCCACTTTTTTTTTTAAACAAAAGCCATTCGACGTATACATAACGGTGAATCAATTTCGTTTTTATTTTCTTATGCTCCAGAATATTGTTAAAAATTATTATTACTACTATTATTACACTTATTATCAATCTAATAATAATAATCATAAATTCAAAAACCTTATAATTTGTATTTAATGTAATATAATATATATATAATATAAAAATGGTTTAGATTTACAAATAATTTACATTCATGCATGCATCATTTTGTCATTGTCTCTACTATTCCGTGCATTTGATCAGGAAATTTCCTGATTATACAGGAAAGGACTATACAGAAAATTTAACAATGATTATTTCCAAAAAATTGAAACAAATTTTTTAATTCTAAGGTCGTAAAAATTGTCAAATTCTAAGGGTGAAGTTCATGACGTCACACTTTATTATGGCAAACATTTAAAACAAAAATAAGGCGCAATATGATTTAAAATTCAACGCCTTTAACACAATCAAATATAACAACAAGTGTTAATTTATTCAGATATATGTCCATTTTGTCATTTGCAAAATAAATGTATTACATTGGCCTGTTGGTAAATTGCATTTATACCCTTTAGCAAAAACAGCCAAGCATCATACTGTGAGGTAATTGTTAATGATTCACAATTTATTACTTTTTTCGTGGCTTTAAGTGCTTTTTATACAACTGAATAATAAAATGATGTCTTATTTTTTATGTTTTACAAATCACACAAGTCACATAAATATTTGATATGTCCAAGCTTTTACCAGGATCTTGAGCCTAGGCGAATGAATGAATGAATGAATGAACGAGAGTCAATAAGCGAATCTCCAACCATAAGTTACGAGACGTCATCAAAATTAAGAATTACGAGGGTGAGGTGGGTAATTAGTATTACCAATCTAACTTTATCGTTGGATAAATTGTGAATTAAAAAATAATATTTGAATTTACCTCCCCTGTCCTCTTGAACGAATCCCAATAACTAACTGTTCTAATACCTTTGACTGTAAGTAACATGACAACCCTCTTGTCTCAATTTATCTATAATTAAAAAAACCACAAATAATATATTACATTACCTTGCAATATATAAAATATACTTGTAGATAATGGATGCCTACATGAATAACTAATGGAATATATCACCATTCCAAAAATGTTGCTTACTAAAATTGTTTGCTTGTGTAATTAGTCTATAGTTGGTATTGGAAGCTAGATGAGGAGGGCTAATTGATCGGTTACCTTTTCTTTTTTGATGAAGATGAATTGTTTTTCTTATCATTATGCATAAATTAATCAATAATGACAATAATAAATATATGAAGCACGGAAAAATAGAAACAGCAAATCCTGAAACGAAAGATCTGCATTATTAAAGTGGCATGATTTCTAAACTAAAACCAATCATTTGTAACTCAAAAATTACGCTTCTCTTTTCCTTCATATGTACGATTTATTATTCATGATCCTGAAAACAAATCACATGATTTTAACAATTAATAATATTTTATATTTACTTTTAATATTATGTGTTACTGAAATTTTTTTCTGGTTACACGGCTTTATTTTCAATAGATTTATTTTACCTATTTGAATTGGGAAAAAAACGTACAAATATGGGAACTCGAGGTTTATATTGCTTCTTGTATAAAGGAGTATATTATATAATCTATAATCATTGGGATTCATATCCTGAAGGGTTAGGGGAAGCTCTTCTTAGACAACTTCAAGGATTTAGTTTGGAAGAATTACGTGAAAGATTGGTAAATAGTATTATTGTGTGCGATGAAATATATCCAGAACTTACACCAGAATTCGTAGATAATTTTCGAACATTCATCACACAAGACGAGCCTTATTTTGAATCTTGGTTACGTCGTTCTTCCATGTATATAAAAGATAATGAGACAGGAAACCTTGAAGCCATTATTAGGCGTAGCTCGGGAGCATTTTACACCTGGATGTGTAAGACATACGACTCTTCAGAAGAAAAATGGTCCTTCTTACTAAGAAGACTTTTTTCTGTAGATGGACTTCGTTTAAAAAAGGCTTTATCTTTAGGTTATTTGCTCCTTGAAGAATCTCCAACTAATAAAGCTCCAGGGATTGATTGTAGTAGTAGTATTGAATGGATATATACTATAGATTTAGATCGTGAAAAATTCTTGGTGAAAAATAAACGAGATGTTGAATGGGAATGGGAATTCAAACTTCAAGAATTATTGACAGATATTGGTGATCCAGAGAAGTCATTGGCGAATAAGTTGATTTAATATATTTAGTATATTGAATAAATTAGATGAAATAGAAATAAAAACATAATACAAAGAGTATAACACCTATCATGAAAGAAAACAAAAAAAAAATAAATACAATTTCTTCAACCAGTGCTATTAACAGGTTGAAAAAAAACAATTTTTTTCTATCATTATAAGTGTTTATAATTACTATATTAGTTTTATAAAATAATGCATTTGTATATTTATTGCTGTTTGACACTAATTGTTGGTAAAGCTGTTGTCCAACAAGTTTATTAACACTGTTCAATAGCATTAATCTTTGAGAGTATATATACAAAGTTTCGCAATTTTAAGTTTTATTTATACAAACCTTTAAAATTGTGATCTTGTGATTTTTTTTCCATATGATGTGTTGTGTAACGAACTCTAAATGAGAGAAATTCTCGAAAATGCATATTTGTCTTTCATCCAACCTACGCATTCTTTAATTCCTACCCTGTCATACTTACATCCCGTTACGAAATTGTAAACTATCATTCATGTCATATATAATTTTTTTTTACATTATTAGAAGTTGCCTTTTTCGGTTATCCAAGTTTTAATTTGTTGGAGTGTAGGGATATTGTCAAATTTAATTTCATTAGTTTCAGCATAATTGAAGATTCCTTAACATATTTTCAGCTGACGGGGATGTATGACCTTGTTTTTTTTTGATTATTATGTTTTTAAATCATGTATTGCGAAAAGTTTTATAAACAATATGCATATTTTGAAGTCTGTCATGCCAAGAATACAACATATAGTTAATGTCGTAAAGTTGCCCGTAAACACCCAACGATAACTACACTATAAATCATTTAAGTTCCCATATTTTTGCAATAAAAATAATCGAAATTTGATACATGTGGCGCAGCGGTTAGATGGTTAAAAAGGAATAACTAATTTACAAATCCTTCATCAATATTTATCCTTTCTTTTGATTCCAAGTTTTGTTTAATTATCCGCCTTCTTTCCTCTCATTCCTTACTAGTTTCTTGATATTCTTCCGGTTTATTGGAAAGAATTGTGAATTTGGTAGTAATGGTTGATGGCCCGTGATTTGGTAGGTTTCTATGATACTTTCATAATCCCGAGAACATTTCCATGATTTTTCAATTATCTATCTATCCAATGAACAACCATTAAAATTTAAAACAATAAAGTAAAATTAATTACAGCGCACAAATAAACTAAGAGTTATTTCATGTCTGTCTATGAAATGATATATGCTAAGATTTCCATTATCGCATGTACGGGCATCCCAAATTTCCATATTCATAGTCGAACATGCAATAATCCAGTTATTGAGCGTAGAAACATGCAATAATTATGTCAAAAATGACTCAAAAATCGAGAATTGTTTCCGAGTTTTCCATTATTGCATGCTTCACATTCAATAACTCATGCAGTGATTATGAATTCATGACTCGTTATTCTCAAAAATGGCAACTATTAATAAACTTATCGCTTTACCATCGAAATATATTAGTAAACTTGTAAACGATGAATCTAGCTGTCATGATATAGAGACCAGAGTCAAAGTAAATTAAAACCTTTAAAGCTCATTCTATGATTCTAAGAACAAGATTTTTTAAAAAATTGAAAAGGAAACATTTCTCCAAAAATTTTTGTCTTTTAACGTGAATTTTTTTTTTTAAAGATATATATATGTATGATGGAATTAGATATATAGACAGTTTGAAATTGTAGAACTTCTTAAAGTATGTGGTGAACTAAATTTTAATGGAATTAATTGAAAATGAATGGATTCGACCAAATATAGTTTATTTTAATGAAATAATTTCGTAATATGACGGGGGAATAGGACAAAATGAGATGGTTTTAATCCATTAATATTGATAAGATTTCTTCAGATGATTTCTTTCACTTATAAAAAAGTTTTAATAAAAAAGTATACATCGAACTCTTTGAATATTATCTTAGTCATGATACATGGCAACCAAGGTTACTAATTCAAAAAGGTCCAAGAATATAATGTTTTTAAATTAATTCTTCAGGGGCACAATATGGATTTTCTAGGGCAGTGTTTGAGGAAAAATTCAGCTGATGACTGACTATAAGTTTATAAAAAATGAATGTCATTATATTAAAGTTCTATAATGAAAACTTCTATATTAAGTAGAGTCAAAACAAAGGAGCAGTAATTTATAATGGACTAATTGATGATCATACTATTACCTATTATTATGATACTTTATCAGGTTTTAAAGATATACTAGCTAATTGAAATTATTTATATTTAATTCTATCATTGAGTATATTAAATTATAACACTTTTAGATAATTTATAATTTCTCTATAATATCTTTTAAATCAATTGTCTATTTCTGTTTTATTTTGTAAGAATTATCACATACAATATTTTAATCATATCAATAATGTTTATTTGTTTATATGGGAGCAATTTACCATTTAATTGGTAGGCTAGATCTATTTTGTATTGCACTACTATGCAGTTGTTCTTTTTTCTTTACTGCCGGACTAGTATTATTTATAACCGACAAAATTTCTAGAGCCAGCCTAACACTAAATTGTTTATGATTACGTCTTTCAGATGCGTCAAGTATCCATTTAATACCACGATTTCTTTGTTGTCTTGGATTCAACGCGGTTGGTATTTGTGCTGACTTTGTACCAGTGACTTTCTTACTTATCAAATCAACAAGAGGTGATGCAATTTCTATTGCTGTCTTAATAACCTTGTACGGATCTTCATTGTTGGTTTGTTTACGTATTTCAAGTGCTGCATCTAAAACATATTTTGTTGCAGTGGCTTTCTTACCATCTTTCATTATCATATTAATAAGTTGTGAAATTATTGGATCTTCCTTTAAAAATTTTTGATCTTCATTATTATCATTTATAAATATTGTTGCTTCACTTTTAGTTTTATCACTGCCATCATTATCATTATTCAATGTTGGTGAAAGAAAAGGTGATGATGATGGTGATGATGGTGATGACGGTGATGATGGTGATGGTGATGATGATAATGAAGGAAATAATGATGATGGCGAAAGAAAAGGTAACGGTTTAGAATCTTTATTATTCTTCTTATTGTCATCTATATTTTTACTATCTTTGCTATTTTTGTTAGTATTTTTGTTACTATTAATAATATTATCAAAAAATGAAGATGTTTGATAGTTTCTTGAAGAAAAAGAAATTGATGATGGTGATTTCATTATCATTAAATTAATTAAATATTTTAAAATTTTATTATTATTATTATTAACTGTTGTCGTTATTGTTCTCGTAAAAATACTTTTATTATTTTTAATAAATGTTGACATTTTGTTATTATTAAAAATTTTTGAATTCATAAAAAGTACGTGTAACATCTAAGATCAAAAATATATATAAAAATGTTTTTATCAATAAAAAATACAACAAAATCCTTCATTATTAAACCCTTTTTCACTTCTTTATCATCATCAAAAATAATAACAACTTGTCAACGTCATTATTCGGCTAGAAAACCAGTCAAACAAGTAGAATTATCAGCACCAGTATATGAAGAAATAAAATTAGATGATGGCAGTGTTTTTGTTTCACGTGCTCCACCGTCACCAATTCCATTACTGTCACCCTCAGAACAACCTCAACAAAACCTGCAAACAAATGACGACAACAAAAATATAATAACGATGGATAAATTACCACCACCACTTAAAAAAATACAAAAAAAAAAATATCATTTAACTGATACAGACATAAATTCCATAAAAGAATTACGTCAAAAAGATCCTGATAAATGGACAAGAAGTAAATTAGCAAAAAAATTTAATTGTAGTCAAATGTATATTGGTATTGTTGCACCTACTACAGAAGAGAGGAAGGCTAGATTAAAAGAACAACTAATGGAGCAGTATTCAAAGATGGGATATAAAAAGAAATTTATTAAAGAAGAAAGATTAAGAAGAAGAGATATGTGGTGATGGAAAAAAATGAAATTTGGTGGTGAGATGAAAGATGTAGATTATGAAGATTTTATAAATGACAAACAATATAAGAGTAATTTTTATTATATAAATAATTAAATATTATTATTAAATTATATACAAGTTTAAAAAATATTAATTAAAATATTAATTGATAATTAAACATTATATTATTATTTCTCCACATAAATTAACTAAATATCATATGCTGCAAGACTTGATCAGGCAGGAGTCATCCTTTGATCTGACACAATTTAAGAATAAAATTTCAATTTCATCAATATTGCTTCTAATTGATTTGAATGTAGAAAAATCTAGGATACATTCTATTGTATTGTCATAAATCTCAATGTAATCACTTGGTTTCCCTTCCTCGCACACAATTATTAACATTCCAAGGACATTTTGTGGCAATATATAGTGATTTACTCAACGGATCTACATTGAGCAGTATCACTACCACTATCACTATCTGTTGTAAGCATCAAGATTCTATTTTTGATGCCTTGGCAAGTTTAGGCGCAACATATAAAGGTGACCCAACTAAATCTATGTTGGTCTGATTGATATAATTGCCCATGCTATCAATATATCCTATTTTTTTTTGACACACTGAAATCAATCAAAATCTGTAAACATGATTGCATTGTGTGATTTTCACAAATATACTAAAAAAAACATTTATTTTAATTCTGGTTTTTTAAAAAAGTTATAGATTTTGGAGGGAATAAAAAAAATTAAATGTTACTAGATGTAGTATAAAAGATATATAACTATGGTAATGTTTAAAATGATTGAATGTAGTGTATGAATACAAAGTCAATAAAACTATAATAAAAATGTATCTTGCCTTTATAGCCAAGCAAATTTGAAAGCCAAAGTTTCCGGTGTTGGAAATTTATAAAACCATTTGATGATTTTACATAGGTTTCAAGCCTCTACAAAGATAAGATAGAATGATTACTATATTCACCTTGTCAACATAATAATCAACTGCCTTTACAATATTCTCATGGTCTAATAATTTCAAAATATTAATTTCTAATTTAGCAGCATAAATGTTATCATCAAACGATTATTTAATCCAATTTTTTTAACAGTGCATGATAAACCAATTTTATTATGGCTATCCTCATTATTTACAACATGATATCTTTCTCGTGATTAGCTGGTAAATATTAATCAAGTATATAAACATATACATATTTATTAACTGATTTACTACTTAAACCAATTCTGTTGCCTTCTCAGATTTTATCATCATGATGTAAAACAAGTTCTCCATTGGGTTTCAAAGTATATATATCATTAACATAAGTTCTCACGTTCCATCCAACTTTTTATCGTTGAATTTTCCTGCTTTTTTATTCTTTATACCTCTAATGTATATGTGTATGATTAATTAAATTTATTGCAATATATTTTGAGTTATTAATATGCAAATTGGCCGCCAGACCGTGTGTCCAATTGTTATTATTTTGATATTCTGACAAACACCTTTTGTGAAAAAAAAATAAAAATCAAGGGCATTAACATTTTCTTCTTGTATGAACAATTTTAAACTTTTTCAAGCTTCTTTGACACTTATTACCATTTGCTCAATACTATCATTTCTATCATCTTCAATATCCTCGGTAAGCAGTCCTCATTTCTATTCAGCTCATCTAACATATTCTTTTCCAGTCATCCAACCTGTCTAACTTCCTCACTCCTTTACACTCTTCTATAAAAATTATTTATTAAAAAAGATTTTTTGTATTTATTTTATAAATCACAATTATCAGCAATTAATTATTTCTATTGCGAATTGGCTTTTGGTTAATGCCGATTCTTTTACGTTTTATGGCCGAATTCGAATTAACTTTTTAGCTACACTCGCCGATTAATTGCGAGCTTTTATTACGATCTTTAACAATTTTCTGCTCACTGACTCTTCTTTTTTGTACCTAATAGATAAATAAAAGCGGCCCTTTTTGATGCTTTTCTAAAGTTCCTTTTTTACTTTGCTTTGTCTGCTTAAAAGCTTGGTTGATTTTCTTTTAACGGCTGTACGTTCACAACGATTATTTAACACGAAACGTGATAACGACTTTGGTTAAACAATAACAAGTTATACTTTTGCCGATCGGTTTTAATACTCTTTTACAAAAACGTCTAACAAAAATTTGAACCTTTGCTTCTTTACTAAGAAAAAACTTTATTATCCGTTGTTAACACTACACTGGTTAATCGACGTTACAGCAAATAACCAAACCTCAGAGTTCTATACCACTCCGATAACAAATGGACGATCAAGCACTATTGCTTAATTCCGATCACAAAAGTGTTTTATTAAGTGAAAAAGAATTATTTTATTTTATTAAATTATTAACTGTGGAAACAATTTTGCCCCTACTCTTATGAGCGAAGGACTGAAATATTAAATAATTAATTATTAGTTAATTAACTAGTCAGTTAGTTAATCAACCGATTGTTTCTTTCTTCCGCGCTTCCATTAATAGTTAGTAACTGCCATGCTCATTTTTTTATGTGTTTTATTTGGAATGAACAGAATTAGAATAATGATTTAAGAGTAATTTTGTCAACTTATTTATAATATAGAACGAATATATTATTAATATTAATATTGAAGTGTTGGCCAGTCGTATCTTTGATCTTATTTTCTTCTTTCATACGTTATCACGTGTTTATTCAATGTAAAGTCATGTGGCATATACACGTGAAACTTAATCATCACATGATTATATGAAAAACTTTGGGAATACACAGATTGGTCAATCTTGGCAGGTTTTTGCAAGTTTTAATTTTGAAGATTTAAGATTGATAGAAATAGAAAACAAAGAGTGATTCCTTTTAAACAATGCTTTCAAGATTATATCAAATTATTTATCAATTAATCCTGACGGAGAAAATTTAAGATAATCAAAATAAACTATTTAACTGCTAAAAAAAGCCCCCATTGATGTAATAAAAGGTTAATATCATCACGTCCAATAATATTACGTAATTGTTTGTCAATCAATTCTCTGCAAAAGGAAATAATATAAAGAATTGCTGAATTGAATAAATAAATGGGATTATCGTTTTTCTCAAAACAAAAAAATTATTCTCTAATCAATAAAACACAATAAATCAATCAAGTCAAATTTTAAATTTTATAAATACATTTATTTTTATATAATGTCATATTCTAAATTATTATTATCATTATCATCAGAAAGAAAGGGATTTGTACGTAAAATTTATAATGAAATGCATAATAATGCTTTGACTAATTCTGATAAAGAAAGTAGAAAAGATTATTTTTTTTCATTAGTCAAAGAAAACAAGAAAAACGAGGAGCTTTCTGAAAATGAAAAAGAATATTGTAAGGAAAGGTTTATTTATGAGGTTGAATTAAATTGTGCAAGAGATAAAAGTGGAAATCCAAAGAAATGTAACAAGTGTAAATTGACAAGATACTCTGATAGGTTCTGTGAAGGTTGTATTAGTTTACAATTACAGAGCCTTTTCACTACTTGGACATCTGGAAATAACACAATTGATGATTTTATTCAACAATGCCAAATGAAATCATCTCTGCCAGATTGTATTTTAGAATGGATACCTTTTGAGCAATTTGAAAAAGTAACAAAGCTGACAGAAGGTGGATTTAGTTCAATTTATA